GCAACAGAACTAGCAAAGAAAAAAGAGAAAAAAAGGTTAAAAATGGAAGACAACAATGTCCATAAACCTCCATCATTCATTGATGGCTTCTACGAACAAGCCAGGCATCTTTTCCTTTTGGCTGCTCAGCCACCCCTATGTCTTCCAGGCTCAGCAGCTGGAGGAAGGAGGTGTCTGACTTGCTCACTGACAGTATCTACAAGCGAGCCAGCAGAGCCAGGCGTCTCCCTCCTCCTGACCTGAGCCACCTGCACACTCTCATGCCTTCCAGGCTCAGAGGCCAGAGGAATGAGGTGTCCAACTCGCTCACTGACAGCACCTACAAGTGAGCCAGGTGTCTCTTTCTTCCAGCTGCTGAGCTGCCCACAGGCTTCCACAGCTTCCATGCTCAAGAGCTGGAGGAATGAGGTGCCCAGCTGATGCTGACAGCATCTACAAATGAGCCAGGCATCTCCTTCTTTCGGCCATTGTGCCACCCACACCCTTCCATGCCTTCCAGGCCTATCAGGCAGAGTGGAGAAAAATGCTGGCCTCACTCACCTCCTTCCCCTGGCCACTGAGCCAGACCATGCTTTCAACTTTTGGGGAGCAATGGTATCCCCTCATTTAGAGTGTCACCTGGTAAGGTCTGCACTCCCCTAGTGATGTCTTTTCAGGTTGGCTCCACAGTTCCAAATCCTGGTCTTCTATCACTCCCTTTGCCATTTTATCCTCCTTAGATCTGGTACTGGGGCCTCAAGGTGACCACTGCACTGGATAATGGGATGTATTAGTCACTGGTTTCAATGTGGCAAAATGGGACTGGAATTATGACTCTGGAGAGCAGGGTTCAATTCCCAGCTGGGCCATGAAACCCACTGGGTAAGCTTGGTTAAGTCACATGCTCTAGCCTCAGGGGAAGACAATGGCAAACCTCCTCTGAATAAATCTTGCCAAGAAAAACCCATAATAGATTTGCCTTAGGTTTGCCATAAGTCGGAAATGACTTGAAGGCACACAGTAACAACTTCCTTGTTAATTATTAAAATGAACAGCTAGAGATATAGAAAATGAAACAATTAAAGATTTATTGTACAGGTCAAGTATCCGTTATCCAGAATTCTGAAGTCTAAAATACTCCAAAATTGCCCATGTCGGTGGCTGAGACCTTTGCCTTCTGATGGTTCATTGTATACAAACTTTGTTTCATGCACAAAACTATTAAAAATCGTATGTATACAATTACCTGTAGGCTATGTGTATGTACAAGATGTATACAAAATATAAATAAGTCTGTGTATAAGGTGTATACAAAATATAAATGAACTGCACGTTTAGACTTGGGTCCCTTTTCCAATATATCTCATTATCTATATGCAAATATTCCAAAATCCAAAACACATTTGGTCCCAAGTATTTCAGACAAGGGAGACTCAAGGCCTTTGCAGAGTGCCAGAAATAGTGGACATTAATTGAGGCACTACCCTGGCTCAGTGCTAGGGAATCATGGGAACTGCAATTTATTGTGGCACCAGAGTTCTCTGACAGAGAAGGCTCAATGTCTCAGAAAAAAATACAATTCCCATGACTCCCTAGCACTGAGCCAGGGCAGTGCCTCGATTTAATGTGCACTATTTCTGGCAGTCTGCAAAGGCCCCCAGTTTGTGTAACAAGATAAGCATCTAGCAGTATACAGACAGTACACTGTAATGCCTTAGTCTGAAATAAAGCAACACTTCTCCCTGAATTCTTTCCACTTTCAGCTAAAAACCCTATTCAGATCTCCTTCATTCCCCTCTTCCTAACTGGCCCTATCTCATCTTTTCCTCTTAGTATTTAATGTGCTCCAATCTGCTCCCCTCCCATTTCTATTTCAAACTGTTCCTATCTAACTGCTTGATAGATAACCCTTTGGTGATTCTATTTCCCCTCATAAGCCCCCTCATAGCATATCAAACAGGGGTAGGCAACCTTTCCCCTTTAAGGGCCGAGGGACTTCAGCTCCCAGAATCCTAGGAGCTATTGGCCAACATAGGACTATTGGCCAACATGGCTGAGGCTTCTGGGAGCTGAAGTCCCTCGGCCCTTAAAGGGGAAAGGTTGCCTACCCCTGATATCAAAGATAGTGATTGGCTAGCTGTACTCATGTTTGCCTAGCTCCTGTCTTCACACATGCCGGTATGAGTATTGTATCCTGACTTTGTTTAATTAAAGCATATCTCCTCACATCCTCAATTACCTTCCTTTCCCATAAAACAAATACGGTGGATTTGAAAACTCATATCTGGGTTTTACAAATAACGTTCAATACAAATAAAGATTAATGAATTGTAGTAATTGGTAGTTAATTCCATTTATAACTGTAATATAGTCATGGGAACAACTTGGCAGTAGGAAGGGGCCAAAATTAAAATAGGCTAAACTTTGGGCTGCAGATATTAATTAATAATTATTATTTATATTTAGTATTATTTATATTAAATATATTAAATATTATCAATATTAATTCCATCCTCTTCCTTCTCTGTCTGGCCCTTTCTCAGGAGAAAGCCGGACAGCGGTGGAGCCTTGCAGGGTAAGCATTTGCCCATCTGCCACCGCCGGGCCTTCTCCTCAGGAAAATGCTGGGCAGTAGAGGAGCCCTGAGGGGTGAGAGTTTGCCCATCCTCCTTCACCACCATCACCCAGCCTTCTCCTCGGGACAAAGCTGAGCAGCGGAGGAGTGTTGTGAATGTTCACCCCATCCTCATCTTCATCCTCCATCCTCCACCCAGCCTTCTCCTCAGGAGAAAGCCAAATAGTGGAGGAACCTTATAGGGCTAATATTTGCCCATCCTCCTTTTCCTCCACTGCCTGGCCTCCTCCTCAGGAGAAAGCTGAGAGGTGGAGGAGCCTTGCTCAGCAAGCATTTGCCTATCCTCCTCCTTCACTACCTGGCCTTCTCCTCAGGAGAAGGCCGAGCAGCAGAGGAGCCTTGAAGTCATTCCACATCCTTGTGGACTGCCAGAAATCCTTTGGTAGGCTGCGTGCGGCCCCCCAGGCTGTATGTTGTGCAGACCTGCTTTATCTGAAACACATGTCCTGTTGTAAGTAATTGCCTTCCTAATGTCCAAATCCAACAGATCCTCAACGCACTGCTCCAGAAGAAAAGTGGTTGCTAATTCCCAGTACTATATACCTGCAAAGATTCAAATGACCACTGATACTGGATTAAAATGAAGAACTGTACTAATAATGACAGATACAGATACCTGAAGAATAACACTGAAGTCCAGTTCTTGTCCCAACTAGAGCAGGCTCACTGATTCAACGGGATTTGCAAGTGTTGATTTAATTTGTACTACAAATGTAGTACATTATGTAGTACATAAATTGTACTACAGTTTGTATCTTTCCACTGTAACATTATATGGTAAATAATTACAAGGGGTATGTATGAAGATTGAGTAACAGATATACAATGTTCAGTAGAGTGTGTTTATATACAAATGGTGATTGGTGGAGAAAATATGAGAGGTACTTTGAAATTTATACTGTGAGAGTGAAAAGGTAAAGAAACAGACAGAAGACTGTGATACGTGTTTAAGATACAGTTCATTAGTACTATATTAAATAAAAAGAAAACTGGAACCACTTGTGTTAATATACTGGCGCGTATATGAGATGAAGTAATATATACACAGTATCTTAAGCTGCATTTTTTAAAAAAGTAGCCTAGCAGTTCGAAAACAGGCAAATGCAAGTAGATAAATACGTACCACTTTGGTGGAAAGGTAAACAGCATTCTGTGCAATCATGCTGGCCACATGATCACAAAGTAGTCTCTGACAATGCTGGCTCTTCAGTTTAGTAACGAAGATGAGCACTGCCCCCTATGGTTGGACATGACTTGACAACCTTGTCAACGGGGAACAACTTTACCTTTTTTTAACTGAAAGTCAACATAACCACTACACCAGTGTTAGAACAAGGTTAGAGAGCCAAGAGTCTAGAACAGCTGTTATTAAAAGAAGAGCCTGTTATACAAACCGAGTAGAAGTGGATCCACTGAAAATCCTGGAGGCAGCAATATTTTAGAAAGAGTATGGGGATCTGAGGAGGGACAAATTACCATAGGTAGTGCTTAGAAGGGTAATCAACAGTATGCGTCTGTCACAATATACTATTCTGCAATTGACTGATTATGTATATGCTAGTGATTTAGGTTTAAGGCTACAATTAAACTGGAAGTGGAAAATCATCAAGTCTTCCTAGCTTACATTGTTGTTGTTGTTGCTGCTGCTGCTGTCTGCCTTCAAGTCCTTTCTGACTTATGAGTCATGACAACCCTTAGGTGAATCTATCATGGGGTTTTCTTGGCAAGATGTGTTTAGAGGATGCTGGCTATTGCCTTCCCCTGAGGCTGAGAGCATGTGACTTGCCCAAGGTTGCCTAGTGGGTTTCATGGCTAAGCTGGGAATCGAACCCTGGTCTCCATAGTTGTAGTCTAACACTCAAACCATTATAACACACTGGCTCTTGCTCATTTGCACTTAACTGCCACAAAAGTATGAACCTGTTTTGAAAAGAATACAAATTCATATAAGGAAACATGACCCCAAAATCTCTTGTGAAGGCTCTCTCTAAAACTTAGGACCCAAAACAAACAGGCAGACAGGGATGGCTTCAAGCCACTCTGGAGGCATGCCATTACATGACACATGTCCCTCGGAAGCTCCTGGAAGCTGCCCTGGGGCCACACCGGGGACACCTAAGGCGGCCCAAATCTAACCCCAAAAAAAGCTGCTCCTTTCCTCTCCTATTTGGGGTCGCAGCGTGTTTACTGTGGCCCTAGGGCGATTGGACTGGGTGCGGTTTGAGGCCACTCCTTCCTGCCTCTCTGCTTCAGCCCTTAGTCTCCTGGCAGTGCTCACTTAAAGTAGGATATTATTACATCCTCTAATTTTATATGAATTCCAGTGGAGTCTTATGACTCTTTACAAATTTAACAATTTTATTGGGTAGGAAGATTTCAGGGGAGAGGCAATGTGGTATAGTGGTTTGACTCTCCAGATTATGACTCTGGAGATCAGGGTTCAAATCCCAGCTTGGCCTTTTAAACCGATTGGGTGACCATGGGCAAATCACACACTCTCTCTCTCAGCCTCAGAAGACAGCAATAGCAAAGCCCTTTTGAAGGAATTTCCCAAGAAAACCCCATGACAGGGTCATCTTAGGGTCATCATCAGTCAGAAATGACTTGAAGGCACACAACAACAACAACAACAACAACAGAAGATTTCATGAACCCAAACAGTATTTCTTAAGCTCTCCAATATGGGGGAACAGCAGGATCCTCTCCCCCCATCTGTCAGGTACCAGCACCATATTTGTGCCCATTGATTACAACTGTTTCCTTTTTCCATGGAAACTTGCCATGGACCACCAGCCAATAGTTTCCAGATTATTACAGGTCCAGAACCACTACTTTGAATAGCAGCAGATCCAGCACATATTTCAAATGTTAACCCTCCATTACCAGATTATTCCTATGTGTGCATGTTTGTTTACAACAGGGGTAGGCAACCTTTTTGAGCTGGGGGCCGGGTTGCTGTCCCTCAGACAGTTGGGGGGCCGAAGCACCAAAAATAAATAAATAAATAAATAAATATTTTTAAAAAATTAAAAATTAAAAATATGCATGCACACTCTCTCAGCCCCAGAAAAGCCATGGCAAAACCCCTGTGGAGATTTTGCCAAGAAAACCCTATGAACAAGTAATAACAACAATAATCAATATCATCATGGCGGGCAACGGGGGGTCAGCGGCGGCAGAGGAGGCAGGACTGGCCTTGGGCTGGTCCAAAGGCCTCGGGGGGCCGCATCCAGCCCCCAGGCCTTAGGTTGCCTACCCCTGGTTTACAATATCAAGGAACGGCATGAGATGTTACAACTACGTAACTACTACAGTGATCATTCATAACAACTATAATGAACACTGTCTGGTATCCTGTTAGTGACACACACTGCATATGTTTCTTTTTTCTCAACTGAGACCTCCAAAAGACCCCAGCAGATCATGAACAACAGTCTTCAGAACACAGCCAAATACTTGCAATGGAGTAGGTCATCAGAGGAAAGCTGCAGTGGCCACTGCAGCAAAATGGTGAGTCCTGGGCATGGTGATAGGGTAGCTGTAGGGTAGTTCTGTTCTTATGCTATGCTTGACTATCCTGATCAGTATCTGCCAAGAGGCAATAACACTTCATGCATTTTATTAGGTCAGTTCTATTCCATGACACATTATAAACTTGTTGAACTTTACAGACCCAAACAAATCTTTCCCTCCCTCCTACCTTCAATCTGCCTATCAAAATATGGCAACCCTTGAATTACATAAGATTTTCTTAGGCAAGGAATGCACTTTCCTGTATTTCCTCTAGCCATCCTTATTCTAAAGTGGGCCCTGGGCCCAAATGGAACCTCAGAGCTATTTTTGCAGTCTGTGACACACTCCCCCCTTTTTCCTGGGAGAAAAACAAGAATGAACTGTCTCTCCCAAAGCCTCCAAGAACAGAAATTCACCTTTTAATCAGATCACACACATACCCCAAAACTGTTTAACATGAAAGTATATCCATTTTTGAAAAATTTTCATCATAAAATAATTGTATTTTTAATTACTGTTATCTAGTTTGCTTGTATGTGTGGGGGGATGGGCGGGTGGGTGAAGGAGGGATGGGATTTTAATTTGATGTATTGTTTTGAAGTTTTGTAATGTTGTACACCGCCCCAATTGCCTGGCAGAGGGGTGGGATATAAATAAAAATTATTATTATTATTATTATTATTATTATTATTATTATTATTATTATTATTATTATTATTATTATAAAAAATAGATGACAGAACTTACTATAACAGTTTAGGCATGGATGTAAATTTTCAGCTGTTCCCAAGTGAAATCTCGAGCTAATCAGAGAAAATAGCTCTAATCAGAGAAAATAGTAATTTCATGCTGAAAAACTGATGTTTTCCTTCTGCTACAAAACAAAGAAATTCTGTACAGTGTGAAGAAGTGCTGCTATCACTTTTCAAATGTCTGCATAGCAACTTAAGAAATTGTTTAACTTAACAAAATGCATTGAAAATAAGATAACTGTTTGCATATGCTTAACAACTTTGTGACAATTTTGAGAAAAACTGTATTTTTATCTTATTTTAAGAATCTTCCTAAGGGTGACTTCATGCTATGAATTTTCAAGTAATTCTGGCAGATTGTATCTGTACATTTATGTTGCTACATACAGGTGTGAAGAAGTGCTGTTATATGCCTTGGAACCACAGTTGCTTCCACAAAGTTCTACAACTGCTACACAAGTTCAACATGTCAACACAAGTTCATGATGACTGAGAAGCATGCTGTTATTGTGATTATGCTATTGTGTCACAGTTCTGACTTGAAAACAGTTCAAGTCAAGCAATCCCTATTCTGCCCAACTCCTATATCAAGCATTCTACAAAACCATGTAAAATCATAACTGAATTTTTCTTAGGCAAACAATGTTTTTCACTAACAGTACAAATCTTTAGCACATATAGTAAGCTAAAATGGTAGATCTCTGACATTCAGAAATCTTTCTTAATGCCAACTCCTTAATTTATGCCACTTGTCTACTGACACTATGCTATGGAAATACATTTAATTATAGATAGACTCTTGGAGAGGTGCTCAAGCACAAGAGCAAGTGACAACAGGCCTAAAGTTCTAAAAGATGATCTCACTGTTCATAAATTCTGACACAAACCCATGATAATGCTTTCCCCTGCAGGTGAAATTTAACCAGTGGTTCCCAGATACAAAAGAAAGACATTTTTAAAGGTAATGTTGATACTTAGGCACCTTATATGTTCATGTTGGGTGGGCAAACTGCAGCTTATCCCTTGACCTCTCTATATTCTCCTTTACCTGCCACCCCAAAGGTGAATTGCTACTTTGGAAAACTCCAAGGCTGATAGTTAATTTATTGGATAGGCTGCAGGACACCCCTGCAATGGTTACCATTTTAAAATACGGTACCCATTTTTCAAAAAAAGATAGGCTTCTGGCCACTTGAGGTATGGAGATTTTTATTTTATTTACTTTTTGGTTTTGCCAGTTTTGCAATCTATGTAGCCCACAGAGGATCCAAAAGGCAGAAAAATGGTTCCCAGACCCACTGCGGTTGTCCATCCTTGCTTTGTAGGCTTGAGAACCTACACCACCAGTAGCAACACTACAGCTCTCAAAATGTTACTGGATTGTGACTCTCTATTCATCATTCACTGTGGCTACCAAAAACTGTGATTCCTGCTACTGATTTACAGTATGGACTCTGAAGAACTGGGCTCTAATACGAACATAATTCCTTGTTTCCCAGAGATAAAACTCAGTAAATTCATATGGTTTTATGTCCACATAATTGTCCATAGGATTACATTCTAAAACACAATTATGCTACCATGTCCAGTTAGTCTGGAGATGCCTTAAACCTATCTGAAGCTTGGGACCAATTATTTTTCCTCACATGTGCCATATGCCAGGATTGTTGTTGTGTGCTTTCAAGTCATTTATGACTTATGGGACCCTAATGAGATCCTATTATGGGGTTTTCTTGGTAAGATATGTTCACAGGAGGCTTGCCATTGCCTTACCCTGAGGCTGAGAACATGTGACTTGACCAAAGACACCCTGTGGGTTTCATGGCCAAGCTGGGAATTGAACCCCAACATCATTGTCCAGCACTCAAACTGACAAGTACCATATTTGTGCTCAATGGCTAGAATTTTTTCTGTGTTTCATGGAACCATACCAAGGACTGGCAACTACTAATGGCAATAGTCCAGGGACCACCACTAAGAACATCTGGAGGACCAAAGTTTGGAAACCACTGAATTCTAGCCAGTGTAGTGTAGTGGTTTGAGTGTTGGACTATGACTCTGGAGTAAAAGATAAAGGTATTCCCCGTTGACAAGGTTGTCAAGTCATGTCCGACCATAGGAGGTGATGCTCATCTGTGTTACTCAGCTGAAGAGCCAGCATTGTCAGACTACTCTGTGATCCTGTGGCCAGCATGACTGCACAGAATGCTGTTTACCTTCCCACTGAGAAGTAGTACCTATTTATCTACTTGCATTTGCATGCTTTTGACCTGCTAGGTTGGCAGAACCTGGGACTAGTGACAGGAGTTCACCCCACCATGCAGCACCTGGGCCTCGAACTGCCAACAGGGTTCAAATCCCAGCTTGGCCATGGGAACCCACTGGATGACTTTGGGCATAGTCACACTTTCTCAGTCTCTGGGGAAGGCAATGGCAAACCCCTTCTGAAGAAACTTGCCAAGAGGCGCTGTAAGTCAGAAATGACTTGAAGGCACACAACAATAACAACTTGGCCACTGGGGAATCTTGACTATAAAGGACACCAAAACACCAAAGCAGACACCCACCTCCGCCTCTTTCACAGAGGAGCTGCCAGCCAGCCAGCAGGGCTGAGGAGAGAGAGCTGGAGGGAAATGTTTGAAACTTTCTCAGCTGGGCACAAGATGGGGGGGTTGTTCCTTCTGGGGCGCCATGTTGCCTCCTCCTCCTCCTCCTCCTTCCCTCGGGGCTCAAACGTGATGATGGCATTTCAAAAAAGCTGCTGCTACTGCTATTATTATTATTATTATTATTATATTGTCGTCAACCGCCCCTTAGCTAAGCGACAGTTTAGCTTGCTGTTGTTATTATTATAATTATTATTATCATTATTGTCGTCGTCGTCGTCTCAGTCGCCCCTCACTTCTCCCAGCTAAGTCCCACCTCAGCTAAGTGACGGTTTCGCTTCTGGCTGTTGTTATTATAATTGCATTATAAACCC